CGGTTCATACTTACCGATGGTGATTCAAAAATTTCAGTAATTTTTGTTCCTTCAGTGGGTGCGGCTACCCAACTGTATGGCTTACACTTATTTTTGCACTTGAACTTTTGTATACTTTTCAAATGAGAAACAATAATACCAGTATTTAAAGTTATACTTGATAGTTTTACTTGTGCTCGGTGGCCGTGCGAATATCTCAGAGCACAAGGGAAGTATTCCTAAAAAACCGACGTGGTAGTGATCTGAAGTGAAAACGCTCAGAGTAGTCGAATCTTACAGTGCTGGCCAAAAGTCCCTAGCCCCCCTGAACTTCGCTGATCATAGGAGCTAGACAGCTGAAATTTTGTGTCTATATACTCTATGATGAATACTGATCCTAGGCACCAGTCCGTCACAATTGCTCGAGTTAGAACGGAGTTATAATAGGTAGTAGTCATGTCCCTTGTGAAACCTATAGTTCGAGAAAGAAAAGATCTTTTGAGTCGGCCAACATCTCATTGTGTAGCACTCTATTCTAGCTATCTATAGTATAAATTTCAGTGAAGTTCATCAAGTCCTTGCAGAGTTATGACCATTTTACTGTAATCATTGATGTACACGAAAACCATGTAATGGCATTGTGAAATTCATAACTCAGTGAAAGCTTAATGGATCTCAGCGAAATTTTTAGGAGATGTTTCCTAACAGTTGCCCATTATTTTCTGAAAGTTTCAGAAGCAAACATTATATTAGAAGAAAATGGCACATTAATCATCATCAAGTACTTGTCAAAGCTCTAGAAGTCCAAATTCTCGAGCAAATGTACTCATTTTTTTACCAATGAAAGATAATATTTGGGGCTTCATTTTTGTACTAAAATATTGATAATTACTCGTGGATTTAATAAAATAAAGCAAAAATGTTTTATAGGTACCTTTTTTCATGTTGTCAGTAACAATAAGAATATGCTGTCATATGACAGTATATCACTAGAAAAGTCTTTTCAGGTCGTTCGCAAACTCCACAGATCAAGACAATTTTCCTGTTTGCGTTACACAAAGACATATTTGGCTTAGAATTATTGACATTTGCAATAAAATGCCTTACTAATATATCCAAGTATATCATAGTCCAATCAATAAGAATGCTATTTCAAAAATATGTTATTTTAAAACGGTTCTTATGAGTAAAAATTCAATTTAACAACTTCCATCACTATAACAATTGTAATTCATAACGCAAGATCAAACCTGAGTGTTGAAAGTGAACAATAATAATAACTTAATGTCACTTGATAGTGATTGATAGCTAAATGTTGATCTTATTCAATAATAGTCTGAGCCAGTGTTTCATACAGCATGAGGACCGACAAGAATCGGTGCTCCTCGCAAGATCAGAATCGACCTCTCGGAATTTTAAATTGCTTCGTCAGAATAGAAAATCTGGATAAAACATTGCGTAGAACACTGATTGACTCATTATAGAATACAACTTTGATTGTCACACTTCATAACTCACCCCTTCCATGCAAAAGAAGAAACCAAGGTCAACAAAATAAAAGCCGATTCCGGTAGGAAAACATTGGACATCGATGAAAATTGGAAGCAGTATTTCTGACTAGAAGGTCTTTGAATGTTTTCGGTGACACCCGACCAACTACCTGTTCCTCCGGCCAGAAAACAGCCGGAAAAACCCAGAGAGTTTTCGGTTCGGAATATTGCTTTCATGTTCCGTCAGTTCTCGGTGTTTTCTTACCGGATACAGTGATTTTTCTCGTATTTTCCTCGAGCCTGAAATCATCAATCTGGTTAACTGAAATGAAATTGATTTATAAATGTAAGTTAATTAACATTAAATTGAAATAAAAATAGTTAATAGAGTATTTTATTGAAAGAATTACGAAAATTGGACATACAGTTAATATGTAGATGTGTTTTGTTAATATATTTTAATGTCGAAAAATCTAGGATAATATTTATCTTGCTTTGTTTGGTTAACGATTTGAAACCGGATGTGAATTAGGAGATTGTCAACAAAAATGTCGTTCAATTATTTCGTTCATATTCAAATGAATATTTTCATCTCAACATAGAGTAATTCAAAATAGATGAAAAATCGTGTACGCCCAGCAATCTTTCAATCATTTTGTGAAGACAACAGATTATCGTACACATCAGCATTATGTTATTCATCTTGTTGGGCTCTGTTTTAAACAAAAATAGATTCAAACACGAGGATGACATATAATGTACAGCATATAAAAAAGTCTATTTTTTTCTTTAAATAAAGGTCAAGTAATATGAAGAGATAGATTTGGATAGAGGTGAGGAGAATGTATGTGACTGATGAAAGAGATGATACCCATATACACTTACAGTCATATCATCTCTGAAAACTAAAAACAATGAAATCTTAGCTGCTTTGCATAACCTTATCAAAGAAAACTTACACTTAGAATTTAGGAGTCTCCTCTTGTTAACTTTGAAATGCGTTAGTAAAATCAATCATTAAAATTTTGACAATAGTAAGTTGCATACGGAGTTGGTCGGTGTTTTCATGAAATATTACTCAGTTTTTTTTTCTGTTTTTTTCCCTAGTGTATTATTAAACGGAAACAATGTGTTAGGCTCGATCAGCCTTGCCTAGTTTTACTTGAAAGCGCTTCGGAGCCAATTGATGTCGGGCACTGGCATATATCCGAAGGTTGTTAGCTTGACTAATTGTGTTTCCGTTCTTTTGTGATCTTCTCGATAAAAGCACAGCGACGTGGAGAAAACATGAAACACAATTCTTAAAACTCGTTAGACTAAACTTGAAAACACTAACAAGTCAGATTGCAATCAATGGCGAGTAAATTAATGGGTTTCTACCGCTGCTTCGTTTGTGTCTTCTGTTAGTAAGGGTCGTTCAAATTTTTAAAAACATACCATTGACCAAAATTCAAGGAAGTAAAACGAAAATTCCATACCTCAGCAGCATCTCATCGTACTCGAAAGGTATGTCAAAGTTATTGTTCGGCTCTTCTTAACTGTTTCAAGTCCACTATAAAAGGGTGTCGTGAGCATAGCAGTTTGAATTCATTCTATATAAATCTTTCCGATATAAAATCCAAAAACTGCATTATACTTCACTGATACAAAAGATTTTAACGTGCGATGAAGTATTTGCGATTTATGGCCAGGCCGAATAATATAAAATGAACTCAAACTACTATGCTCGTGACACATGCGCTGATAGTAAACTTGAAATAGCTAAGAAGTTGAAGAGGGTAGCTTTGAGAATACCCTTGACGTACGCTGAAATACAGAATTTTTACTGTATCATCCTTGGAAGAATGGGTCGGAATTTAGAAGAAATCATCATCGGACTTTTAATGAATCCATATATCAGTCACGTTGCTCTCTCTGTACCGAAGTTTTAGTTTAGTCTTGACTCAATCCTTATTAAAGTTCTATTTGATTCTCATTTTTGAAATGATTGGAGACCGATGTTTCTACTGAATTTTTTCAACTTTTCTCTCTGAATTGAAATCGAACGTGAGAAGTCTATTTGTTTGCGTGAATTTCTTCGAGGCTCATTTATAATTATCAACTATATCTAGTAAAATCGCCGATCGACGAAATAGAACGCCTAGGTCGACGTTTTCAACTGCTGTGAAACCTGTGAAATTCTACAGGAGTACAATCGGATTGCATCTGATAATTTCTGAATGTTGTGTCTAGAAATCTGATAGTTGAATCCCACTGTGGAAATTTGTCAGAATAATCAGGAATCATATTGAATCCGACGATTGGAATGCTAGACACAACATTCCAGCCACTTTTGATACAATCCTGTCTAATTTTACTGGACTCTTATGTGTTTTTCGGGTGAGACGAGTCTATTATGATATCACTGATTTTGCTTCCGGTAGTTTTTTTCACTTTTTGTTTGTACGTTCGGTTGAATACAATAACTAAAGAATAAAGTCAGTAGTTATTCGGTGTGCTATATATTTTTCAGCATAAATGAAATCTGTTGAAATCAGTGACGAGCGATAGATGACTGTTGTTACCATATTTTTATGATCTTTGGATTCGATGGGTAGGATAAAACATAAATAAGCATGATTAGTGAGGAAAGCTTTAGATAGCCCTAAAGAGAAAAAAGTTCTTCGAGACACTTATGCTTTTGTCATTGATCACTTATGGAAGTCTCGAATTACATCTGTTTAACATTGAAGGTTTCCTAAAAATATATAGCCCATTATCTTTTTATCAATGACTATTAGTATTCCTATATTCTGTTTTTGACAAGTCTTTATTCGGTAAAAACTCATGCTGATACCATGGAAACTTTAACCTGTAGCTCTTTGAAAAAAGACGTTTCCAATCTTATACATAGAGCAGTGTACCAGCAGCTAAAAGCCAATGAAACATTATCTGGTTGAGACTGATCTTTAACCACTTCATTCTTCCTTTCCCAACAATTTTTAGACATCCTATAATTAGCGAATTTTCCTAATGCCTAATTTTCTTCTTTCAATAATTGTGATATATTCACACAATTTCGTTCCATCACGAATTGATCTTTTACAAATGACAAAGAACCCTCCAAAACCATTTCGATGTGCGTATGGATGCGGGCATAGACGAGCAGAAGATCAACTTTCATACAGCATACTCTTATCTTTCTGCACTCACTCATTGATAAGAAGATATACTGTGTGGGAGTACAGATTTTTTTCATCCGTACTTACACATAAATGGGTTCAGACGATCGTCGTTTATAATTGATTATTTTATGTGAAAGTAAAATTATTGACGATGTATGAAAATTGCTCAAAGAGTAAAATTATCGTCAGAATTTCCTAATTTTGAAAAGTCTGGCAATTTTGCCCCTCAAACAAACCGATTTCGATTTATTAGATTCTGTAGCATATGCTCCGAAGTAATTCAGTTCGGACGACAATGTCGCCAAATATTCTCATACTGATACTTATCAGTTTGTTGTTGCTTCCGAGCAATAAATGTGCAGCGAACATGACAGACTCCACTATGTCGGACACAGCAACAGCCATTACATCGGACACAACAACAAACATTACATTGGACACAGCAACAGCCACTACATCGGACACAACAACAAACATTACATCGGACACAGCAACAGCCACTACATCGGACACAACAACAACCACTACATCGGCTACAACAACAACAACTACGTCGGCAACAACAACTACCACTACATCGGCTACAACAACAACTACTACATCGGCAACAACAACAACCACTACATCGGCTACAACAACAACAACTACGTCGGCAACAACAACTACGTCGGCAACAACAACTACGTCGGCAACAACAACTACCACTACTTCCACAACTGCTAAGAGTCAAGGACAACAGTTGGCCTTCACCCCTATTATAGTTCTTGGTGGTGTATTTGCACGTCTCGTTACTCTTATAGAACGATGAATCAAGACAGCGACTCTACTCTACTAGTTTTTTTTCTTCATTCTTCTCTCCAATTGCTCTTCTACTTAAACTGATCGATTCCTCTCCTTTTCCCAGAAAAGACTGATGTCGGTTTGAGCCTTTTATGATCTATTCCAGTTGAAAATTTAAAATAAACAGTCACTTGAATATTTATCAGTCACACTGAATTTCACTCAATGTTCATTTTGTTTATTTTTGCTTATTGATTTGTTTGTTCAACTATTTGCGGTCGAACGACACGCCCTATGAATAATAGAAAAACTCTTGCACGTATGTATATTGCACGCAGAGTAGAACAATACCATACTGCGTGTGTACTTACAATATTTTGAATTATTTCTAATGGATTTGTTTTAGAAATTGGTATTCTCATCACACGCAATATTAACTTCAACTGAAGACAAAAAATATTCGACCATGACTGTATGAAGTTTATTTGATGCATAAAAGACTACTGTGCTTTTTTGCAACATCGAGAGTCTGTGTGACACAAGAGTTTCGCACAGACACTTTCTCTACAATCCCACAACTACAGCTACATCCACATCTCGTCCACACCTACCACCTGCACATATATTCTCCCATACACCAACATCCAAGTTCCTCCTTTCACCCCCTCCCTCACGTGCACACTCCACATCCATACCCTCCATATCATTTTAATCACTATCACTGCCGTCATGCTCATTATTACTATCATCAACACTTTCTCTAATGTCTGTTTCGTCATTTTCTTGATTGTCAGTTTCCATGTGAGAGTCTGTAGTAAGACTATCATCATCATGACTATCATCCTGACAAGTTTCGATTGCCTGACCAGATAGATAAATATTGACATTATTATTGGCATTGTTAGTGACGTGATGATGTATTTTCTGAGAAACATCACGATCAATAACTATGAAAAAAAATGCAACGAAAGACAGTAAAGTAAAGCATATTTATTGTGTTCTACTTACTAATATTCAAAGGAAAGATTGTCATATGATTATGGACATTTTCATTGATATCAATTTGTTTTTCTTGTTGGTTCGTGAAGTAAATAAATCTACAAAGAATCGAAAAACAAACATTAAATATTCTACGCATCTATGTTGCCAGTGAAATGCAACGTTTTTTCCTATCTATAAACAAAAACTAATTTACAGAAAAATTTCTGTTTACAATTCTTTTAATTCGATCCTTCGATGTATTGGTCATATCAATTTTTCCATGGCCAGCTATTCAGTAATGGATCATAGATGAAGTACTTCCGTAATGGCTTCTTTGGGTGTGTAACTGACAACCAAGCTGCTGGTTGTTTAATTAAGTTCGATGACAGTAAATAACTAAATAATCTTTCTTCCAACTAAGATTAGAAAGAACCTGGAAACTACTACTTATCAATTAAATCTCTCTCCTTCATACTTCGTCAACCTTTTGTTTATCGTTTTATGGAGATGATGTGTCCATATTGATTGACAATTATCTACTATGCGTTTCAAAATAAAAGAGACCTTAGTGTTTTTTGAATAACTCTTGAACAGAAGAAGATAGAGAGCTGCGGTTTTCGCCACTCGAAAGAGAAATGTTGGGGCTATCAATCGGTTTGAAATTTTATTGGTCGAGTAATTGACCAATCAGATGAATTCCTCATGTAGGTTTTGCGAACGAGTTTTCGGATGCTTTTTTCGTAGTTGTACGATGTTTCAAAGATACCACTGAATGCGAAATTTTATGCTCTTTCGAACTACGAAAGCCCACCATCGAAATCATATTCCGTTCACAAGTTACTGTGGTTTTCCAGAGAACCCTGTTTTCGGACTTCTGGTGTCTGGTGGCCTTAAAACATGTTGGTATAGGGATAATTTATCACACTGAGTCGAATGGTGATATCAGCTTTGAACTTTCGAACACTATTCATCCGTAATTTTCAGAATATTTACTATTACGTTCTCGGATGGTATAGCCCACTAAATGGTTATATATAAAATTTCCATATAAAGCGTAAATAGTGTTTGAAAATGAGAGCTACCATCACCATTCGTTTCAGCGTGATAAATTATCCCTATACCAACATGTTTTAAGGCCACGAGAGAGTAGAAGTAAGAAAACAGG